GTTTTGTTCCGGATGGAATTCCCAAAAAAAAAGCTGGGATTTGACGGGATGTGTTTCTCTTTTCCAGAGGAAGAGCAGGGCCAGAAGAGGAAACGAGAGCCCGAGGATGAGGGGGACGAGGACGACTGAGCGCCCCCTCCCTGGAAAAATTCCCTCTTGTGATTTGACTGTTTTTATCCTGGAATTCCCCCCTTTTCCCACATCCCGACCCTTTGGATTTTCCTTTTCTTTTCCTTTTTTTTTTTTTTTTTTTTTTCTTTGGTTTTTTTTTTCCGGATTGTAACGTTGCTGTGGGAACCGAGAGGGAGCAGCGAGGGTGGGCAAGGGAATAAAATCCTATTTTTACTGCCGCTCCTCCTCCGATTCTTTGGGAATTTCTTCCTTGGATCCCTTCCTTGAGTCCCTGGAGCTGCAAGAGCTGAGTAGGAACCGAGCAGGAATTCTTGGAGCGGAGCTTGGACATCTCGGAAGCAGAACAAGGAGAAAACCATGGATGAGCCCGAAATCCCAACGGGATTTTCCCACCTCTGCCGATCCCAAGATCCCAAAATCCACAGTTTTTTTTGGGAAATGCTGCTGGAATGGAAGCCAGGCCTGCCCAGCCCCGGGGTGGGAATGGCGCCTTGATCCATGATTTTTTTTTGGGAATGACTGCCATTTTCAGCCCCTTTTCCCACCTTTTTCCTGGGGAATTCCCCGGGCTTTTCCCTCTTTGTAAATAGTGACCAAATGTTGGGAGTTTTTTGGGAATGTTTTGGGTTTTTTGGGATGGGTTTGGAGCTGGTTCTTGGGGGACTTTGCAATCCCTACTCTGTGTGTTGTGTGTTCCCATTTTTCCTTTAATTTTGGGGGCAATTCTAGGTTTTGGGGATTTTACATTTTTATTTTTTGGGGGAAATGTTTTGGGTATTTTTTGGGAATTTTTGTGGCTGAAGTGCAGCCAAATCCCTGAAAATGGCAGGCATTTWAAAAATAGAAATATATATTAAAAAAAATTACAAATTCCCAAATTTCCCAATCTCTAAATTTACTGCTTGGAATAAACCAACTCCCCCTCCTTTCCCAATCAGGTCTCTCTGGAATATCCGCCCCTAATCCAGGAGAAACCACTTGGAAAATCCCGATTTTCCAGCCCCAAAAGCCRGGAATTCCAGGAAACACCTGAAATTCCGGGAAACGCCTGAAAATTGTATTTTCTTACCTTGTGGGGAGGCAAAAAAATACAGAAAATCCTTGGGGGAATGTATAGCGGAACTTCCGGATCCCTCGGGAAAAATCCCTTTGGAAGTGACTTGTATTTCCTAGGGAAGCTTCCATCTGTATAAATCCATCGGCTCCAGGTTTTTTTGGGGATTTGGGGGCCCTGTCTGTTTGGCATTGAGGAATTTCAATAAAGCTTTTGATACAAACTCTGCCTCTGGATTCTTTCTGGGAAAAACAAGGAATCACGACCCCTGGGAAAGCTGGGAATTCCTGGATATTTTTAGCGCCTTGGCCCCTAAAAAGCTTTGGATGAAACCCAGGGAGCGGGAGGGGGTTGAATGGAGCTCCTGGAATGCTGTTTTGCCTCAGGAATGGGGGKTTCTGGTGGGTTATCCTGGGAAAATGGGAGCCTTTTTCCTGGAAAATCCTCTCTGTGCTTCTCCAGGCCTGGAATGATGAGCTCCTGGATCCCAGGGAAGGGTTCCAGGGAAGATCTGTGATTTCCTCCCTCTGGAATGAACTGGATCCCAAATGGGAATGCCGGGATGAGGYGGGAATGCTGGGATCAGCAGCAGATCCCGGCTGCTCCCAAATCCGTGGATTGTGTCCCGTGGGAGGCTGGGAAGTTGGGGAGAATCCCGGATTTCTTCCACTTTGGATTTATTTGGGGAAAAATAACGCCTGGATTTGGAGGTTGGAATGACACATCCATCCATCTGGAATYGGGAAGCCATTCCCGGTTATCCAAGGGTCATTCCAGGCCCTTGTCTYGATCCCTGTCCAGCTTTCCTGGAGCTCCAGGAGGAGCATCCAGACTCTGGAAAAATCTTGGGGGAGCTCCAGCTCCCAATTTCTATCTGGATGTTAGCAAACCTGGGGGAAGGTGCTGGAAAAGTGGGATTTTGGGGAAGAGTGGGATTCTGGAGGTGGAAAAGTGAGATTCTGGGGGTGGAAAAGTGGGATTTTAGGGGAGGGAAGAGTGGGATTCGGGGGAGGGAAAAYTGGGAATCCAGGAATCCCACCTCAGGTCCAAATGCAGCAGTGCAAAATTCCAAAAMCACACTGAATTTGAAAAAATTCCTTGAAAATTTTTGTGAGGGAATTTTGCTTCCCATAGAGTCACAGAACATGCAGCTGGAGCCGCTGGATCCGTGGGTGCTGAATCCAAAGGATTTTAGGGATATCAGGACAAGGTGGGATCAGCCTCCCCCTCAGGAAATCCACAGAAAACTCCCTATTAAAACCAACCGGGAGCGGCTCCTCCTCCCTTCATTCCTGATCCCAGATTTTGGATATGAATTCCAGGCAATTTCAACATTAATTCCAGATTTAATTTCCAGCAGGGCCTCATAGAACACTGGGAAGCAGAGAATCCAMGGAAATCCTGCAGCCGGGAAGCATCGAACAAAGGAAAACTCTGGGAAGCAAAAGTAGGTCAGGATGCTTGGGATGAGCGGGGAGGGATGGAAAGGGAAAAACCAGGAAAGGAATCATCCTGAGGGCCCTGGAGAGGGAAGAGGTGGATTCCTACGGATGCCAGAGTGCTCCGAGCCTTTTTCCTGAAATCGTGGAGATGGGAGAATGGGAAAGGTGGGATCCCAGCCTGGATTTGGGTGGGGACAGCTCGGGAAGGTCCATGGAGAAACAGGAATTTTGGGGTTCCTGAGGCTGGAGGGGACTGGAATTCCAGGGAGCGGTCGGGAAGCTTCTAAATAAAACCTGGGAGAAGGATGGGAGGAAAAATGCTGGGATTTATGGAGCCCCTGCTTGGATTTAAACCCTGGAAAACCCAGTGATACCCAAGAATATCCGGAAAATCCGCACCCATCCCAAAATGTGGATGCTTCCACAGGAGCACATCCAAGGATTTTCTTCAGGATCCCCCCACCCTCTGAGGCAGGAGCAGCATTCCCACAGAGAAGGAAAAGCAGGAATGCAGTTCTGGTATCCTGAAAAGATTTTATTCCATCACTATCCCGTGGAAGCATAAAYAATCGGCAAAGACAGCACATGGAACGCAGCGGGGAATGCCAGGAACGCCGGGAACGAAGGCGGGACACGGAGGGGTCGGACCCGTGCCGGGAATGCCGGGAACGCCAGCGATTGGGGTTGAGTGAAAACAGGGATCTCTAGGAAAACCAGCAGGATTCGGTGTYGTTCCCTGCGCTCCGGGCAAATTCCGTCAGTCCTGGGATTGTCCGACGTGCTGAGCCCACCGAGTGCTCCGGGTCCGTCCATCCCTTGGGATCCATCCCTGGGGCCACACTGCCCAGGGATATCCTTCCCCCTGCTCCACAGCCGTGTCCCAGTGGGCAGGAAGAGGGAGAATCCCGCTTTTCAGAGGCAGAAGGAGCAAAAATCCCTCTCCAGGTGGGAATTCCAGTTTTTTTTTGTTATTTGAAAAGACATCAGAGCATGTGCATGGGAAGGATCCCGGGATACTACTGTGGGAAGAGTCCTGGGCTCCAGCCTTGGGAACAGGCTCTGGGATGGATCTCAGGATTCCACCACAGGAATAATCCCAGGATTCCACTATGAGAAATGATCCCAGGATTCCATCATGGGAAAGGATCCTAGGTTCCCACTACAGCAAAGCATTGTGGAATGGATCCTGGGCTCTCACTGTGGGAAGGATCTCAGATTCCCACCGTGGGAAGAGCTCCAAGCTCCCACCATGGGAAAGGATCCTGGATTCCCACTGTGGGAAGGATCCCAGTTTCCCACCCCAAGAAGAATCCCACATTCCCACATGGACACCACCTTTGATGATCAAGCCCTTCCCACTTCCCACCCCTCTTCCAGCTCCGCTCCCGCTGTCCCTTTTTTTGCATAGGAAAAGAAATTAATAGCGAGGAAGCATCGCGCTTTCCCGGGAATCCGCCCCGAGCTGGCTCATCCCGATGGACAGGACATGGCTCTGGCTCGCTGGGAGCCTCCGGGCCTTCCTTCCCTGGGATTGGGTTAGAGCGGGATTAGTGCCGGACAAGACGCGCAGGACGTGATTCCGGGCTCTCGGCAGCCGCGGGTTCCGGAATTGTCTTCAGGGCGAGCGGATCCGAGGAATTTCGGGGCGCAGTAGAAACAAAGGAAGTTCCTTTGGAAAAGGTCCCCGGGAATCAGTTGCTCTTGGGGCTGTTCCGGAAGTTCTTTAGTTCCAGCTGCAGCTGCCGGATCCGAATGTCCTTCTGCGAGAGCTCGTCCTTCAGCCGCCGGATCTCGTCCTGCTGCCGGAAGAACATCCGGAGCAGCTGGAAAAGAAGGATGGGGATGAAGGGATGGAGCTGCTGGGATCCTGCCGGCTGCTTATCCCAGGATTTTGTCTGGAGCCGAGCTGGGATTGGGCCATGACTCAGTGCATTTTGGGCAAAAGGGGATGGATTGAAACTGAAGGATGAGGAGATTTTTATGGGGTTTTGGGAAAGAATTCCTGCCTGGRAGGGTGGGGAGGCCTTGGAAYGGGTTCCCAGAGAAGTTCTGGTTTCCCCATGCCTGGAATGACCAAAGCCAGGCTGGAGCAGCCTCGGATAGTGGAAGGTGTCCCTGTCCATGGAATAGGATGGGATGGARTTTAAAGTCCTTCCCACCCAGCCCATTCCAGGATTCCATGATTCACCTTCCCGCTCCTCTGGATTTAATATTTAATACTGAACATCCCATTCCCATTCCCGCACTCCCACCTCATTCTCCGTGCGGGGTGGGACATTCTCCAGGAGGTCGATCCCATTGACCACCACGCTTTTCTTCTCCCTCACTGGCGCCTTGAAGACCATCTTGGAATTCCTCTTGTATCCCTCCTTCAGCGACATCAGGATGGGATCTGTGGGACAGCAGGTGGTTCAGGGCTGGGATGCGGCCCTGTCCCAAATCCCAGACATTTTTGGGATACCCAATACCCCATGGCTTTACCTCTRTTGACCCCGCTGAGCCACTCGTCCGGAGTCAGCGCCGGCTCTGTGCCCGGAGTCATGGGATAAATGTCCTCCTGGTACGTGTCCGACTGGAAATGTGGGAAGAGAAGAGCAGTGGGATCAGTGAATCCGTTCCCTGGGCATGTGGGAATGATTCCCTCCCCACCACAGAGGGAATGAATGCCCCTGGATAGTTGGGAATTTCAAGACACAAAGAGAAAATTTGGGAAGTTCAGGCTCGAGCAGAGAATTTGGGATTGCATCCTCCACCCAGCCCTGGCTGGCAGCTAGATCTGCTTCCCAGCAAGCCCTGATCCAAGCGAAATATTCCCAAAAACACCTCCCAAACCTCAGCTGAGACCAACCCCTTGGAGAGAAACATTCCCTAAAAACATTCCCATTAAACCTTGGGTGAAACCTCCCTGGGATGAGTGAGGATTGAGAACTCTGGATTCGGGGAACAGCCCCATCCATGGGATTGCTCAAAGCGGAGAATCTCCATGGCTCCAGCCGGGACCCTCCAGATGCAGGACTCATTCTGGAATCCCAGGACTCACCCGCCGCGGGACGATCATGGAGATGGGCTCGATGAGGCCCTTGAGGGTGACGAGTTTGTAGAAGCGGAAAACCTCACAGGCAGACACGTCCAGGCCGTGTTTGGGCATCACCCCTGCAGAAAAMCCCCCTGGATCACCCTTCTGCACCATTCCCGGCACAGAAAATCCCAAATATCCTAGCGGGACATCCGGGACTTTGCCAGATTGATCCCCGAGGCAAAGGACCCGGGGGTGTTTGCAGGATGTTGGGAAAAGGATGAGCAGCTTTGATTCAGGATAATCCCAGGATTGATGGTGAGGTGGGACGGTGGGAATGATGTCTCTGGACACACACCTGGCTGGGATCCAGCACCACCATGTGGGAATCGCCACAGGGATGGGAATGTTGCCATGGAGGAGCTGCAGCCAATGCTCCAGATCCAGCTCCCACCAAACCCAAACCCAAACCCAACCCAACCCAACCCAACCCAACCCAATCCAATCCAATCCAATCCAATCCAATCCAATCCAATCCAATCCAATCCAATCCAATCCCTTTTCCCTGTGCCATTCAATCCTGCCCCGTCCACCTTTTCCACCTTTTCCGTGCTCCAGGAAGCGGAGCCGCAGCACGTCTATCCTTACCCAGCCCTTTCTGCGGAGCCGGAGAGCGGAATTCCATGAGATAACTCAGATAGGGCTTTTCCGAGCCAATCTCGTAGTACCGGATGTTGCCGTCGCCCTGGGGRATGGATATGGATTTGGAAATGTGAGTAAAAACCCAGATTAAGAGCATTTAGAGGGCAGGGATGGATGGGATATTGGGAAGGAATTCCTGGCTGGGAGTGGGRTGAGGTTCTGKCCCAGAGTGCCCAGAGAAATTCTGGATTCWCCATCCCTGGARGRGTCCAAGGCCAGGTTGRAAGGGGCTYGGAGCACCCTGGGATAATGRAATGTGTCCCATGGCAGGAAAATCMCTGGAACCRGATGATTTTTAAAYTCCCTTCCAACCCAAACCATTTCCATGATGCAAATTCCACCCCCAATCCCGATGCAGCGCTGGGGGATTTTCCAGGAATGCTGCATCCTGAGGCTCCACGCATCCATACCTTCCCGGCCAGGTAGAGCATGTGGGTGTCRGCATCGTAGAACGGGAAGAGCAGCCCTGAGAGGCCATCGATCTCCTCCTCRATCAGGGGCATGGAAAGGTCATCCTGGAAAATGGGAAAATCCTGCTGTTATCCATGTCCCAATGGAGCTGAGTGGGAATTCCCTCAGGGATGGAACAGGGGTCATGGGGGGGATGGAGCAGGAATTCTGGCGGGGTTGGAGCGGGATCCCGGCCCCCACCTGGTCCCAGAGGGCGATCTGCCGGGTGTTCCAGCGGGACACTCCKGTGGTCAGGAGCCGTTTGGTGYTTCCCAGGAAAACCACRCGGTTGACGCGGTGGTTCTTGCAGCTGGCCTCCTGCAAAACAGGAATGAGCTCTGGAATCTCCCCTGGATCCAGCACCTCATCCTGGGGGTATTCCAGTTCTGYCCCTCAGCACCTGCCCCTGGCCAATCCAAAAATTCCCATTTTCCTGAATATCAATGACCACCGTTATCGAGACCATCCTCCTCCAAACTTCCTGCACCTTCCCCTGTAATTCTCATTTTTCCCAAATCCTTAATTAACAACGGAATTAAAGCCTCCAACTCCTCTGTTCAGCATGAGGCCGAGCCCTTCCCATCACCTCCACAACCAGACAGGAAATGGGATTCCAGTGGTCTGGCCTATGGAAGCCATTCCTGTTCTGTGGAATCTCTTCCTGGTTTATGGAAGCTGTATGGAACACCAAGAGGACCCCCAGCACCTCACGAGCATGTTTACACATTCCATAGATTCTAAAATCCCACTCCACCCCCCATCCCACGGTGAGGGCCGGCACCTGGAGGACCCTCCCGGAGCGCGGTTCCACCACGCGCAGCTTCTTGTCCTTGCAGGTGGTGGCCAGGAGGCTGCCGTCAGCGTTGAAGGACAGGCTCAGGATCACATCCCCRTGGCAGTCCAGCATCTTCACCGGCTCCCCGACCTCCAGGTTCCAGATCAGCACCTGCAGGAAGAGCCTTTGGAGCAACCTGGGATGGCTGGAGCTGCCCCCAGTCTGGGGAAGGTGTYMCTGKTCYATGGAAGGTGTCACTGTTCCATGGAAGCTCTCCCTGGTCTATGGAACCTGTCCCTGGCCTATGCAATCTGTCCCTGGCCTCTGAAATCTGTTCCTCGTCTATGGAAGCTATTCCAGTTCTATGGAAGTCATCCCTGGTCTATGGAACCCATCCCTGAGTTAAGGAAGGTGCTCCTGGTCTATGGAAGTTGTTCCTGGTTTATGGAATTTGTTCCTGGCCTATGGAATCTGTCCATGGAAGCTCTTCCAGGTCTATGGAAGTCATCCCTGGTCTATGGAAGCCATGCCTCAGTTATGGAAGGTGCTCCTGGTCTCTGGAAGTTCTTCCTGGTCTATGAAATTTGTTCCTGGTCCATGGAAAGGGTTCCTGGCCAATGGAATCTGTCCCTGGTTTACAGAATCTGTCTCTGGTCTATGGAAACTGTTCCTAGTCTGTGGAAGCTCTTGCTGGCCTAAGGAATCTGTTCCTAGCCTACAGAATCTCTCCCTGGTCTATGGAAGCTCTCCCTGGCTGGGAGAACCCTCAGGAAGGGCATTCCCGGGAAAGGCGTTCCCACCTTGTAGTCGTAGCCGGCGCTGAGCAGGATGTTGTTGGTGGTGGGGTGCCACTCCAGCAGTCCCACCCTGCGGCTGTGGCCGTAGAGCTCCAGCACCGCCTCCGTCATGTTCCGCTTCAGCCCGCCCTCGGGAATCTCCCAAATCCGCACCTGCAACGGGACCGCGCCAGGATGGGATCGGAGCGGCCCCACTCGGGAGCGCCTTCCCAAAAAAACGCTGCAGGGATTTCAGGATCAGCCCCGCTGCTGGGTGTCCCTCATGGATAAATAAGGAATTCATTATGGCATCCCCTGGGATTTTTCCTTTAGGATCCAGCCTTTGGGATAGATCACAGAATACTGAGGTTGGAAAAAAATTCCAAGGCCATCATTTGAACCAGCCCAGAGCTCTGAGCCACATCCTGGAATTCCTTCCCAGCCTATTCCCATGTTTAACCACTCTTTCCATGGAGAAATTCCTGGTGTCCAACAGGAACCTTCCCTGTCAGGGTATTGTGGAGAGCCCAAAATTGTGCCCATATCCCCCTTTTCCCTGGGATGAGCTTTTCCAGCACCCTCAGCTGCTCCTCATGAAAATCACCCTCCAGACCTTTCCCAGCACCATTCCCGTTCGGATTTGCATCCAGAAAATAAAGAGGAGCAGGGAATTCCAACCCAGGAGCCAGGCTGGGCACAATTTGGGAATTCGATCTCCTGTCCCTCAGCATCTCCAAAACWAATGCCATATAAATCTATAAATAGGGAATCGACAGGATCAGGAGGGATCTGGGAAGCACATCCGGAATTCCCGGCTCACCGAGGTGTCCTCGGAGCACGAGGCGATGATGTTCTCAATGAAGGGGTTCCATTTGATGTCCAGCACATTGCCCTGGTGACCGCAAACTTTGGGATAGTTCGGCTCGATCCGGCCGGTCTGGAATAGAAAATTAAAGAAAACAATGGGGAAACAGTCAAATTTAGGGAGAAATGGATGTTTTTGAGGATGGGAAAGGAGGAGGGAGATCGAGCTCACCCTGGGATGGGGTTTTGGCTGGAGGAGGCTGAGCAAGGGATTGGGATTATTCCGTCGGTATTACCAGCTGATCCATGGATGGAGAAGTGTTTCTCCAAACACAACTCCATGGAGCAGGAAAAGGACAGCCGGGAGCTCGGTGGGAATTCACGGAATCATGGAATCATTGGGGTTGGAAAAGSACTGTGAGGTCACGGAGTCCAACCATTCCCAGCACTGACGGTGTCCCCAAGCACCGAATCCACAGGGAATTTAAATCCCTGCGGGAATGGGGGCCCCACCCCTGGCCAGGGCTGGACAACCCTTTCCATTAAGAAATTATTCCATGAGGGAATTTTCCCAATATCCCACCAAACCTCCCCTTTCAGGATGGTCKGAATCCATCAGCAGAAGGACTGGAAGGGACTCCAGAGGTTCCAAAACCCCTCAGRCCAGCTCAGCCATCAGACCACACACAAATCCCAGAATCCCACAACGGTCTGGGAGGGAAGGACCCTTCTGGGAGAATCCCATTCCCAATCCCTGCCATGGCCAGGGACACTTGCCGCTATCCCAGGTTGCTCCAAGTTCATCCAGCCTGGCCTGGAGTTGGAGCATTCAGCATTTCCCTCCCAAATTTTGGATTTCCCTCCCAAATCTGGAAGCGCCACCATCCAAGGTGCTCCACCATGGAACAAACCCYAAATCCTGGGATCACCTACTCCTGCCTAACAGTCCCAAATCCGTGACCCTGTGRGATGGGATCCTTCCATGCGGATGAAAAATCCTTCCAAAGCTTCCCTGGATGATCCCAGCCCTCRGCAGACCCTCCTGGGAGGATTCCCACCGGGATGGGCYRCAGGAAGCCCCTTCCCTCCCTTCCYGGTGAAGCTCCGTGTCCGGATGCCACCCCGGTGTCCTTCCCTGCTCCGGGCTGGCTCGGTGCCGGAGCCGCGGGCGGAGCGTGCGGGATAACTGGGTCAGCTCGGCACAGCTGCTGAATATTTCATGGATCTTCCCTCCCGCCCTTCCCGCTCCGGTTAACGGGAGCGAAGGGAACGCGCCGGGAATTCTGCCCTTGGCAGCGCRGGGAAAGCRGGAGAGCTCYGGGAAGYGGGATCGGGGCCAGGGAGAGCCCTGGAGACATCGCTCCCGAGGTTTCTTGGGATTCATCCAAGCTGCAGGGATGAAGTTTGGGAAGGAAAATTCCCGAGGATGAGACAGAGAAGGAAAAATGGAAATGTCGGAGCTTCCTTAGCTCTGCTTCCCAATAGCAGCAGAGAATTTCTGGGATGAAATTCCTGGCTTTATATTAAATATTCCATCCCCCACTGCTTATCCRATGGCTTGGATTTTTCAGTTTTTCCCTAATTTCCAATCTGCATCGCCATGACCTTATCCACACCCTGGCTAGGGTAGAAATTCCTGCAAAAACTATGGAATTCCAGAGGGATGGAACTTTTAACAGCACAAATTAACATCCCACCCCTTTTATTCTGAGGGATCAGCCGAGTGAATTCCTGTGAAAAGAAGATTTGATGGATTTTCCCCAAATTTACCAGGATTTTAAGGGAACAACACCAAGTTTGGTTATTTGGGATAATTTCTTCCCAAGAACTCCAGGGTTTGGATCAAAATTGGTTGAGAGCAGTGGGAAGAGACAAGGAATGCACCATTCCCAGAAGAGGAGAAGGAAAAACAATGGCAATAAAAGAGAAAAAAGCCCTAAAAAATCCCAGATTCCGGCTGCCATTTCCMATTTTTTTCAGAGGGGCCTTGCTGGCAGCTGGGAGTTAATCCAAGGTGAATCCTAATCCCTGGATCCCTGATCCCCGGCTGAGGGAAGCGCAGTGACCCAGATTCCGGCCCCGCAGGGACGGCGCGGGGCTCTCCCAGCTCCGGCAGCTCCGAGGTTTTCCACGGAACGCGCTGGAAGGAGGAAATCTTCCGGCAGCTCCCGCCCCTCCCTTCTCCAGARCGTTTGGAAAAGGGGTTGTGTTGGSAAAAGGGAAAATTAATTGGAGAAATCGTTAATTTTGTGGGTTGGGGTGGAGAGGGAATTCTGGGAATGGCTGGAATGGCAGCAGGCAGAGGGATGGGCACTGTCCACATTCCAGAATCTGGAATGGGATCACAGGATCTCCCAGGATTATACATATCTGACTCATGGCCGCACAGGAGAATCCCAGGAATTCCAGTGCACCCAATGATGTCCCTGGGATGAGCTCCCAAGGAATTCCCCCCGTTGGATCCATCACCACTTATCCCAAATGATGGGAAGAGCCCACAATTCCCGCTCTTGGAGCAGCACAGCTCCGCTTTGGCCATGCCTGAATTCCACTTTTCCTTTAAATCCATCCAATGGGAATTTCCAATCAATCATTCCAACATCTTAAATTCCCAAAAACTGCTTTTCCCCTGGAAAAGACAAACCAAGAGTKCTTCTAAACCCTCCGATTTCCTGGGAAGCTCCACAAATATGGCAAAAATCCCTTTGTTCTGCTCCATTCCTCCAATCCCACAAAGAAAACCTTTGGGATGGGAGTGGTGTCTATCCGGCACCGCCTCCGGATCCCATTCCCGGATGGAAAACTGCCCCCCCAGGGCCACCCTTCCTGCTCCAGCAGCTCCTCCAGCTGCTCCCTGATCCCAAATCAGCTTTAAGAGCAGGATCAGGGAAGTGCTGCCTGAGCCGGGGGGATTTCCCAGGAAATCCTTGAGTCCACAGGAGTCTCCAGGGGCTGGGATTAGGGATAAATTCATTCCCTGTTTTTTAAAGGATCTCCTTCCTCCCTGGGAGCCAAAGAGGAAGGAATGAGGCAGAATTGAGGCTGTTCCCTCTTTTCCTGCTGTTCCCTGATAATAAATCCCGATCCTCACCTGTCAGGGAATTCCAGAGGGGGAAACGTTCCCCCTGATCCTGCTTTTCTCCAGGATGAGCTTTCCCAGGCTCCCAGTGYTCCCACCCCTTTSCGARCTCCRTTCCCTTCCCTGGACATGCTCTGGCCCCTCTTTGTCCCGAGGCCCCAATCTGACCCTACAAACTCCACATCCCAGGTTCCTTCGGGATAAAAGCTCCCAGATTTTCCACCAGCAATTTTTCCAGGATTGAGCTCCTCTTCCCATTATCCACAGGCCAAAAAGCAGGGGAAAAAAATCCACCCTTTTTCCCAGGATGAGAGTTTAAATCCCAGCTCCTCCCAGACAAATCCATTAAATACGAATGCTCCTAAATTAAAGATAAATCCCATCCCATCCCACTTGGAATGACGCCGAGGGGCAGCTGGAGTGCAAAACCCTCATCCCTGTACCCCAAAAAATTCCAAACACCCCCAGGATCGCGGGATAAATGGGATTAACCCCCTCCCCCCTGGGATTTCTTTGTCCCGGAGAATGAAGAGCCGGGCTTAATTGTTCATTAAAGAGACAAAAGGCCTGTGAATGTCCCGTTTAATGGGATTCGGGACATTCCAAAGAATYCCGGGAATACAGAGCCCCGTTTACCGGCGATTCCTGTGGATTTCAGCCGGCAGAGGGGGCAGGAAGGGCTGGGACAGCGCAGAAATTCCCGGCCTCGCTCCATGGGCTCAGCTTCGGGCTTGACTGCAAACCAACCCGGCCAAAATTCCCCATTTTCCATCCCACATTCCTCATTTTCGACCCTTCCCTGGAGCTTCTGCTCCAGCCCCAGTGTTACAATCTTATCCCGACTTCTTTTTTTTTAATTGATCCATGTGTTTAAACCCTGCCAGATGCTGGATAAATTCATCCCCACAAAAATTCAGGACTATCAGCTGGAACATCAGTGCTGAAGGATCAGAGGTTTCTTGGAAGGCTCAGGAATTTTTCCCTCCCGTTTAAAGGAATTTTCTCCTGCAGACTAAATGCAGGAATTTGGGAATTCAGTGCTCTGCCCAATCCCAAATCCAGCCCTGCCCAATCCCAAATCCAGCCATTCCCACAAACTCCTGACGGGAGCAGGAGTTTGGATTTCGGCTTCCTCTGGGTAAACAGAGGCTCCCCCTCCCTGCTCCCACTTCCGTTGGGATGGAACATTTTCCGTCTCTGGAAAACAACCTCCCTCATTCCCTGTGGGAACAAAAATCCCTCTGTTCCCCTGSAAGTGATGCCGCCCTCCACCTCCACCCCACTGCAAAGGGGTCYATCTCAGGAATGTCCTTATCCCAAATCCCTCTCCAGCTTTTCCCGGATCTCCTGTACATGCTGSAAGGGGCTCTAATTCCCTGGATTCTTCCCTTCTCCTGGGAAACATTCYCAGCATTCCCAGCCTGGCTCCAGCTCCAGGAGAATGGAACAAGCTCTGGAAGGATGGGGTCACAAACAGGGATGGGATGGCACCAAGCTGCTTCCCTATGGAACTGGCGAATATTTCATCCAAGGGTTTTGCTCCCTGGCTCAAAATAAAAGAATATTTTCCAAGGGATCTCCAGGTGAAGCCTGGACCAGATCCTCAGGGCRAGGTTGGAGARGGCTTGGAGCAGCCTGGGATAGTGGGAAGTGTCCCTGCCCATGGAATGSGATGGGATTTACAGTCCCTTTCYCACCCAAACCATTCCAGGATTCCGGAATCCTTGCGCCGCTTGGTTTGGGGAGCGATTCCCACTCTTCCCGAGCCCTGGCACTCTCCTTCGCCCACTCCCTGGGGATATTTATATCCCGGTGCCGGGGAGAGGCTGATTCCCAATGGCTCCGGAATCTGGGAGGAAGGAGGCGCAGCCCACTCCCTCTTCCCAACCCACACATCCCTGGATCACTCTGTGAAATCCCCGGGATTTGGGATGTGCAGGACAAGAGGATGGCCCAGTCCCGATTCCAAGAGCTCAGCTGAGCCGAGGGCAAAAACCAGGGAAAGGATCCAAAAATACAGCGGCAAATCCAGGCCGGATCGGCTCCGTGGGGTCCGGGTTACCTTCCTCAGGTTCTAATTATGGATCCCAATTAATTCCAGGGCTGCTGATTTCCAAGGAAAATGAGTTTCTCCTTAACGAGCTCATCAGGCCCCGGTGGAAAAAAAGGGGAATTTATTAACTCCTGCACTCACCACGGAGCATCCGGGGCTGCTCCAGCCGAGATTCATCGGCCAGGTATCCCGGGATTTCTGAGGATCCCTTCAGAGCAGGTTGCAAAGGGCATCTCTGCTTTTATCCCACTGGGATTTTGCCCAGGAAAAAGGGGGRTTTGCTGGAAATATTGGGTTATTCCTCAGGATTCGGGATCAAGGGGGTGTGGATGGTGATTCCAGCCAGGATCCGTGAGGAAGGAGCGGGGATGAGGCTGGAGCCGGAGCGCTCTGGGTGCTCAGACAAAGCTCCCAGTTTTCCGAGAATATTAATGAGGCTCAAGCTGTGCTCTGCAATTAAATCCTGATTAGAATTCCTTCCATCTGGAGCTGCCTCCGGAATGAAGGAGGAACTCAGGAGAGGTAGGAATGCTGCACAGGGAAAGGGCCTGAGGAATGATGGGATGCAGGGTGTGGAGGGGAGCACTCCTCCATTCTCCTCGCATCCCTTCCCAACTGGAATCTGGGATTTGCGAACTGGGAATTGTGGGTTTTGCCCTGGATTTGCCATCCAGGAGGGTGCTGAGATTTGGGATTTAGGAATTTGGGAACTGGGAGGGGGTTTGGCCCTGGATTTGCTGTCCCTCATTCCACATGGGATGTGTTTTCAAGGAATGTGGGATGGGTGCATTCTTAGGGAGTGGGAATGCAGGTCTTTCATGGCAAAAATCCTCCTGGGAATGAGATGGGATGTGGATTCCAGCTTGGAATGCAGGAGAWTCCCAGGGGAGTGCCCAAGTTTTGGGAGCAAAGCAAAGAATCCCAGAATCCTGGAAAGGAATCCCATTCCCACATCCCAGGCTACTCTAAGCCCCAGTGTCCAACCTTGCCTTGAACATTYCAGGGATCCAGGGGCASYCACARCTTCTCTGGGAATCTCTGCCAGRGCCTCCCATGATAAAAATTCCTTTTATCCTCCTTTTCCTTGGAAAAATTCCTTTCATCCGATTTCACTGGATGCTTTTCCTGCTCCAGCCCTCCCCCTTCCCTGTCTGAGGTAACACAAATTCCAGCYTCAAGGTCGCCGCTGCCGCCGCCGCTTTTCCCTCCCGGAGCCACCCGCGCATCCCGTGGGAAGCGGCTGGAGCGGCAGCTGGGTTGATGGGAATTTAAAATTGCATGAGGAAGAGAYGAGAGATCCCAGGGGAATTCCCAGGAAAGGCTTGGGGGGAATCTCAGATGGAGAAGGAAAAGGAAAAGCACAAYGGGAGGAGGAGGAAGATCCTGGCAGGATCAGGGATGAGAGAGATAAATTCCTGCTTTTCCCATGGAAAGGAGCTGTTCTGGTGCCTGACCACCCTTTGCATGAGGAATCTTTCCCAAATATCCAACCTTAAATCCCTGAAAGGATGGAGACATTTCCGATATCCAAAATGCCGGAAAAAGCTCCCTGAGAGATTCCCAAAATGATTTAAAAACTCCTCCTTAAACAAACTCAACTCACCAATTCACTGCACAGAAAATACCGGGACAACCAGCAAGGACTGGGACACTTTGGATTGGTTCTGGCCGGGATTCCCATTCCCATTCCCATTCCCACTTCCATTCCCATTCCATGCCCTCACCTGCTCCAGCGGGATGACGAGGAAGGCGCCGCCGCCGGCGCTCTCTGTGACGATGGCGAGGAAGCGAGCGTTGACGGCACAGAAATGGTTGTCGTGGACGTTCTTGGTGATGGGAATTCCRTCGAAGCAGCGCTCCCGGCTCGCCACCTTCCCGTAAACATTCCGGAACTTGGAGCTGCGGTACTGCGGCCGCCATGACATCTGCGGGACAACACAGGGGGTCAGCATTCCCAAAAAAAATCCCATTCCCGGCGGCTGACCCGCTCCTGTTTTTACGTGGTGGGACATGGAAGCGGTGGGATGGCCCCATTCCAACATGAACAYTCCTGAAAAATTYAAGCAACTCCTGGAGCGAGGGATGGCTCCCAAAAGGCATTAAAAGAAGGCTCAGCATTCCCAAAAAAAMCCCATTCCCAGTTGCTGTCCCATTTCCTTTTTTACCTGGCGCGACATGGAAGCRTTGGAACGGCCCCATTCCAACRTGAACATTCCCGAAAAACCCAARGTGTCCCCGCAGTKCTGGAAGGGCTCACGAAAGGCTCCRAAAGCCTCYGTGCTGCYGCAGAATTCCAGCCGCTCTCCTTTGGAGAGGGAATGCTCATCTGGGACACGTCTGGGCGCACACGCCAAAGGAATTACGGCTCAGAATGTGATGGCTTGGAAAGGGATTGGCGGGAGAGCAGGAATTGGAGCGGGATGGGAGCGCTTAGGGAGGGAGGGAATATCGGGAAGCGGGAATATTCTGCCTTTGGCTGTCACAGCTCATTTTCCGCAGGTTTTCCTATATGGAGCAGCATAGGATCCAGCAGAGATCCCACGGATCATGGTGGGAAACAGATCCCAAGGATCCACCAGCTGATCCTGGTGGGAAAGGGATCCCATGGCTCCCACTTGGAAAGATTTCCCCATCCTCCAGCTGCTTCCAGAGGATGCRGACAAGGCCTCTGAAGAGATGCCGGGAAGCAAAGTGGAATTCCAACGTCCCAAGGGTGATGCTCCATCCTTATGCTGCAAACCTGGGAATTTTTCCCAGGAAAATCCATGGATTCGCAAACACCACTTTCCGCTGGCACAGAGAAGCTGTGGCTGCCACATCCTTGGAATATCCAAGGTTGGAATGGGGCTTGGAGAAACCTGGGATAGCGGGAGGTGCCCATGGACACCCCCAGATGGGCTCTAAGGTCTCTTCCCATCCAAATAACTCCAGGATTCTGGGATTTATGATGGAAAATTGGGAAAACAAATAAARTTTTCCAACCAAGAGGATGGAAATCTCTTATCCCGTATCCTCAATGATCCAGGGGATAATTCCAAGTGGAAAATAATTTTGGTGTTTATTCCTTTTCCCTTCACAGATTCATCARTTCCTGGGGTGCTCAATCCCTGGAATTCTGGGCTGGAGAAACATCCCACTTCCTGGCTGAGCACAAAACCTTTCCCAAAACCTCAAAAAAACCACGAAATTCCCCATTTTCCCCTGGAATTTAAACCCTCTCTCCACTGCCTCCCAGCAACTCACCAGCATTTCAAACTCTGGGGATATTTTTCCCAAATTTCTTGGTCTTCAGGAATGATTTGACTGAAATTATCCCAAATTTTGTTGGGTCAGAAYCTCTTGTTTTTATCCTAAATTATTTCCTGCTCCGAGCACCCTTCAATCCGTAACAAAGACATGGATAAAAGGAACCAGCGGGGAATCCAGGGATTCCCTGAGCCCTCAACCACCACCGAGAATTTCTCTGGGAAGGGGATGCCGGAAGACCAAAATTCCTGCTAAATTTGGCTCCTGAGTGCTGCTTACACTTCCATGGAGCCACAGAATCCCTGGATCCGGCTCGGATCAAACCCAGCTCTCACCCCTGTGCCGCATCCAGCACCTCTGGAAGCGCATCCCAAGGATTTGAGCTCCCACAATTGATAATTTTTATGGATCTCATTTTGGAGTCATTCCCGGCTTTCTGCTGACATCCATGGGGATTTTTTTCCTCACTCCGTGACTCAGAGGCATTAAAAAAATTCCCATCGATTTCTCGGAGCCGTTGCCAGCCTTCCCCAGGATCAGCCTCCTGCACCACTGTTTCCAAGGATCCTTCAGCTCTGCTTTATTCCTGGGCTCTGCTTTTTCCTCCCATTCCAAAACTCCTCCCACCTTTGGGSCAGAAATTCCATGGAAAAGGAGGATTTGGAAGCAGTGAAATCAATCCCATTCCCAATCACGACATTCCCTGCCAGCATTCCCCTCCCAAACATGGAGCAGCAAAGGAATTCTCCACTCAGCTCCAGGATTTAAGGCTCATCCCAATGTTTTCCTTATTTCAGTGCTGGAAGGGAAGAGATTGTCCCAAAATTCCAAGGAAAGCTCCTTGGCAACGCAAAAACGGGGAGGCTGGGAATTCCTGAGCAGGGATACAGGGCTGGGAAGGAATTCCCGTCCCTTTTCCTTCCTTTTTCTGCTTCTCCAGCATCCCTGGGAAGGGGCAGAGGGAACCTCGAGAGCGGGAGCGGGACCGGGAAGTGGAAGGAGGATCGGGAAGCGCCATTATCCCGTGTTTTCCAGCCGTTATCCCACTGTTATCCCGCTGTTTTCCCGCTGTTATTACACCATTATCCCACTGTTTTCCCGCTGTTTTCCCTTCGTTATCTCGCTGTTTTCCCGCCGTTATCCCGCCCTTTTCCCGCTCCTCCTTTCCCGACAAAGGAACAAAGCCGCTCATTGAGGTTTCACAATCAGGGAAAGCAAAACCCAGCCCGGACCCAGATCCCTCCYGGAGCAAAACCGCGGGATTCAGGGAAAATCCAGAGAGGTCCAGATCATTCCCGGGTGTCACCGCTTCCCTTTGGGCTATTCCTGAAATCCAGAGGGAAACACCCGGAGCCGGAGGTGGGAAAAGCCTCGGAGATGATGGGATGCAGCCTGCCGTGTTCCCAGAATTCCTGAAATATCTCACTCCATCCCCACTCCACTGAAAAGCAGGGATGGGAGGAGATATCCCGGGCTGGCTTGGAAATTCCCGGTTTTTCCCTGCGGAAATGGCTGCAGGAAGGCAGGGACCGAGGAGCAGCTGCAGCCCAGGGAAAGGATTTTCCTGCCTGGGAGGAAATGGAGAGAATTTGGGAAGAGCTGCATTCCCTCTTTTCCTCATCCATCCTGGGAGCCGCAGGATTACATCATGGATCACGGGAATGAGCCGGGAATGGAGGCGTCAGCAGGAAGAGGAGCAGGAGATCCCTGAGGATCTGGAGAGGGCAGAGCTGCTCCCGCCTCGGGAAAAGGACAGGGAATGGGATTTTAAGGGGATATTTTAGGCCCTGGGTTGGAATTTAGGGGTGGGATTTTGATTGCATAGAAAACTGGATTGACACCGAGCTGATCCTCAGGTTTTTCCTGCAGGAAAGGGGATTGGAACCGCGAGGGGGACATGGATCTGAATGCRGGAACACACAAATCCCACCGGGAGYGGTTCTGGGAARAGCAATGCCTGGAACACCAGGAAAATATCCCAGGAACAAACCCCAACAGTTCGGCCCTCATTCCCTGGGAACAGCRCTGCCTGGAAAACCAGGGAAAAGAAAAACCAGGAACAAACCCTTCATTCCCTGGGAGTAGCAATGCCAGGAAAACCAGGAAAAGATCCCAGGAACAAACCCCCAGCGGTTCTGTCCTCATTCCCTGGGAACAGCCCTGCCTGGAAAACCAGGAAAATAAACCAGGAGCAAAACCCCCTCATTCCCTGGGAAGAGCAATGCCTGGAAAACAAGGAAAAGGATGCCGGGAGCAGCCCCCCAGCCGCGCTTGGATGTTTTCCCACTTTCCTGGCAGCTCCAGCCTTTCCCGGGAGCAGCAACGGGACTCGGCTCTTGTCTCCATGCATTCAGAGTTTCAAAGGATCCTTTCAAACCTCGGGAGTCTTGGAAACAACGGGAGACGGGGAAAGCTCGGGAAGGGAGCTCTGGGCACGGCCGCGGGCAGAGCTCCGGCCCTAATCCCGAAAAAACCTGGATATCCTAAATATAGCTCCCGTTAATCTGCCGTCAGCATCGGAGCTCGCGGAGAAACGATTCCTGCCTTCACCTGGAATTTTTGGGAGTAAAAATTCTGGCCCCTCAGTCTTTTTTCCTTGGAATTGTGCCCTCCTGGCAGCTTTTTGTGTTGTTACCATGGCACGTCCTGTGTGCCGTGGATTTTTATGGGAAAAAAGGGCTCTTTCCTCGGGAATTGTTGTTCTGCCCATGGATTCGGTTGACTAGCCAGAAAAAAAACCCAAAAAAACAAAAAAAAAAACCAAAAAAAAMCAAGGGATTTGCCTGGAAAAGCGTGTTGGGAAAAGAAAATCCAACACATCAAAATCCCAGGTTTTCAGGAGGAGGTTTTGAAGCACTCCAGGAGAAGGAGCTTTTCCAAAATCTTATTATTCCCAATTTTCCTGCCTCCCTCCTGGCACACAGGAATTCCCTGTCTGGGATTTTCCAGATAAAATCAAGGCTGAGTTTTGCAGGGAGGAACCCCAAATCCATCCCAATCCCAGCCCTGTCCGGGGGCTGTTTTCCCTCCCTCCTTGGGAGGGGCTGGAAGTTCTTTTCCATTGGAAAGGTCAGGAGTTCCAAGGGTTTGACATTTCCAGCATCAATCGGGCATTAAGGCTCCGACACAAACAGGAGCTGCTTTTCCAGAGGAAAACCAGGGAGCTGGAATCTCTGGGAAGGAGCTGGAGCCCCCCAGTCCCACTCCATGGACAACCTGCAGTTTCTTTGTAAGGAAAACGAGAGAAAAAATGGGATTCCAAATTAAAATTGGGATTGTTTTAGGGAAAAGCCCCATTCTGGACCGGCTGCTGTGCCACATTCTGGGGGTGATTCCCAGGACAGAGCCAAATTTCCCAAATTTCCTGTGGAGAGGGCAGAGGGAATCCTCTGCACCCAGGGGATYTGGGAGCCTCGGGAATTAAATCCCAAGGGATGTGAGATGTTTGGGAATGGATTTGGGGTGAGCCTAGATCCCACCCAGCTGGAACCAGGAAGATTTTTGGGATCGATATCCAGAGCCTAAATCCACACTGGAAAACCTCAGAACACAACTAAACCACCTCCCTACCCCAATCCAGAAAATTTTCCCATTTGGAAGGGAAAACGTGRGAGCAGGAGCCGGCAGAGCCACGGGATTGCCCCAAAAACGGCATTGCGAGCAAACGGGGCTGGAATTCCCAATCCAGCCTGGCCATGGGGCCTGGAATTCCCAATCCAACCTCACTGCGGGATCAATGCTCCAACCCAATGATGGMAACCCCAAAGGATGGAAACGCCCAGGAATGTGGGATGTGCGGTGGAAATGAAGAGAATTCCCTCCATTCCGAGGGATCTCYGGAGCGGAGCCGGCCCATGGCGGGCTCTGGGCTCGCTTGGGATGCGTTTTCCATGGATTTTGTCCCAGCCTTGTGGGAATTCCCGGCTCGGGACACTCACCAGGCCGCGCTTGCTCCCCAGCACGTCAGACTTGTGCAGGTCCCTCATGGACTCTGTGCAGAGAGGGAAAGGAAAACATTCCATTCACCATCCCGGGAATTCCAGGGAAAACACCCAAACCCTTCCTGCCGCTCCTGAGGGCCGGGATCCGATCCCCAGTGGGGAATTCTGGTGGGAGCCACGGCTCCAACCCCATCTCCTCCTCCCTGGTTTGGGAATACTCCACAGCGCTGACCGATTTCTCCTAGAGGACGAAGTAATTCCCTAAAAATAATGGATTTACGTTAAAAGAGGGTGGTGTTATGGGATATTGGGAAGGAATTCCTGCYTAGGAAAGTGGGGATGCCCTRGCACAGGTTTACCAGGGAAGCTGTGGCTGCCCCTGGATCCCTGGAGTATTCAAGGTGAGCTTGGATRGGGCTTGGAGCATCCGTGGAATCCATGGGAAAGTGGGAAGTGAGACATTCCCAGCCTCATCGTTCCTTCAAATCCATTTATTTTTAGTTGAGATTCAGGGGAAAAGTTTCCCTCATTTGGATTTGGAGCMCCCTGGGATGGTGGGATGTGTCCCCACCCATGGAATAGGATTTACAATCCCAATCCAAGCCATCCTGGGATTCCAGGATCCTATTTTTGCTCCTGGTAGCATCACAAATGGAAGTTTCGTTTTCCATGGATATGGAGGCAGAGTTCCCATCCCTGGGCTCGTGTGCCAATGTCAGACCCCTTCCCAGCATTCCACTCATTTCTGCAYRGAYACAGCTCTGGAGCCCCAAATCCCACATTAAGCAGGAAAATTCCCTCTTTTCTCCCTATGGATGGAGCAAACAGCTGGAGCAGCAGCGGGAAAAGGAGGAAGCAGCTCCCATCCCAGAAAACACCTTCAGGATCCAACAATACCAGGATAAACGCACTGAGACCCCAGGAGAAGAGGCTCTTCCCAGAAAACTCTCTCATTYCCAATCCCTCCATCCTTGGCGACACCGTGGGAAGCTGAAACTCCATGGGGAGGGAAAARAAAGGGATGGCTGGGAATTGGGAAAGGGATGGCTGGAAGTTGAGAAAGCCACTTGTTTTCAAGATAAGAAGAAGAGGGAGGAGATATCCAGTTTTTCTGTGTTTTTCCAGCCTGGGAAGAGTGGGAGATCAACTGGACAAATATTTGGGATTCATCCCGAAGAGAGATGARCATTCTTGGAGTGATATCCACCAGCTGAGGTTTTCCCAGCCTGGAAGGGCCTGGGATTTTCCCTGGAGTTTGACTTTTCAAGGATTTTGAATTCCTRGGAAGGAGCTGGGTTATTCCCACTGATCCTCATCCCTCCCGGACCACGGAGCCGCTTCCCATGGTCCCACAGAAGTCACGGAATGCCGGGAAAGACGCACAAACCATCCCTGGCAACCTCAGGGAGCCGAGTTTGGATCGTTTCCCTCTGGGAAAACTTCTGGAGGAGGAAAACCAAACCTTCCCCAGGCCCACATGCCGGGAACAATCCCAAACCTCCCCCTCCAGCAGAAATTCCGGAAGCGAGCCYGGTTTTCCTCCCACTCTGTTTCCCGAGTCCTTCTCACCCCAGGAAGCTCCGGACAGAGCACAAAGCATTCCTGGTCCCCGGAGCTGCCCCAGGGCACCACCCCTGGGATTCTCCGCTCCTCCAGCTCCTTGGAACAACRCTTCCTTGAGGGAAAAAACAGCTCCAGGCTTTTTCCCAGCTTGAGGGGGTTTTAGGGAAGTCAGAGAGCGGGAAACATCTTTTTTCCTGTTGGGATGAGCGTGACAAGCCAGGGGCTCGTCCCTGGGGATTATTGCACATCCCATAGCAAATCCTTGGATCCAACAGGATTTTTGGAGCAGGATAAGCACGGCTGCCTCTATCCCAAGGGAATCTCCTCCAGTGAGAAGATCCCATAAATCCAACCTTTCTCAAAGTCAGGTTTCTAACTGGAATAAGGGGGGAAAGCCACATTAAAGTGGGAATTAAAGGGCTGGAAGCATCAGGGGAAAGGGTGGCTCTGGGATCCCATGGGAAAAAATTTCTTTGGGAAGTGCTGGATAGGAGAGAATAAAAAAATTAGGGAAAAAGCCCACTGGGAGCAGAAACATTGGGATTGCCTGGAAAAAAATCCCTTTCCAAGCCCCAGCTTTGCACGGGACGTGAACCATGAGAATTTATTTATCCTGGGATTTTTCCAAAGCAGGGAACAGAGCTCCGGGGAGCAGCTCTGGCTGCTCATCCCACTTGCTGTTTTCCACCAAAAAATCCCAAATATCCCTGGGAATGAGCACCCTGGGGTGCAGCATCCCACAGGAGGCTCCGGTGGCTCCGTTCCCATCCCAGCTTCTAAACCACGGTGGTTTTTTTGGGAAGTTTTCCCCAGTCGGGGGCCAAACTCATCCAACAGAAATGAAGGAATGAGAAAGGCAGAATCCATAAATAAAATAAAAAAAAAAAAAAAAGGAAAACAAACAGGATCCACAAAACATTCCAGGCTGCAGATTCCCGTTTCCCGGCCAGCGCCAGGAAGCGCCGGGGGAGGCTGAAGGTCACGGGATGGCCGGGTCGGGATGCGGGAGGCACCGGCCCCCCTTCCCAGCCCCGGGAATGGGAGCCTGGACAAGCCTTTCCTTGTGCTCCGGCTGCCGGGATGAGCGGAACCCTCCGGAGAAAGGCAAGGGAGCCTTGTTGTCCTCATTGTTATCCCYGTTATCCTGGTTATCCCAGTCATTCCAGCACAAAGCCAGGAGCCAGCGGAGCAGCAGCCAGGATGGGCCTGAAGTCTCGCCCTTTCCCTGGTTTTCCTTGGATTTTTATGGATTTGGGATTCTTCCCTCAACAGGAGAGCAGCCCAAGTGATTCCCTTTGCCAGAGGTTGGAGTGATCCTGCCGGGAGCTGGGATTCCTCTGGAGCCAGCATCCCACGGGATGAGCTCTCACGGGAACGCTGGGCAATATTCCCACGCATTATGTTCCTTTTGGAGCATTTCTTTAATTAATTCCCTTCATCCTCATTCCCACAAAACCCGAGTATCCCATGGATCTCATCCACAGAGAWTCTTTGGGATAATGGGTCAAATTTTGGGAGCAAAGCCACRGAAGCGGAYGCACTTCCATGGATARAAAAAGCTCCTCCATCCATGGAGRCAGAGAAATTTGGGATGGGAAYRGCTACGGATGGGAGATTCCCACCCCAGGCATGGCACCGCATCCCAGGAATGTTCCCATCCCACTCCAGTCCCTYGGGATGCTCACCTGCCCTGCTCTGCTCCGGGCTGGTCGGACGCCTCCGGACACGCCGGGATGGACACGGAGCTCAGGGAATCGGGGCTGCTCCAGGAGCCTGGAAAAGAGGAAAACCCTGGGATTACCAGAGCTGCTGCCTGTCCCGAATTCCAGCCGGGATCAATCCCAAATGTTGGAGTCACCAAATAGGGCAGGGATGAGGATCCAGAGGATGCTCGGATTAACTCCAGCCCGCAGCGGCATTCCAAGTGCTGATTCCAGAGGGATACCCACAGCTCCACAGGGATCCGAGGGTGCAGGCTTTGCCARCCAACATCCTTGGGAATCATGGAATGGTTTGGGTGGRAAGGGACCTTGAAGCCCAACCTATTCCATGGGCAGGGACACTTCYCATTATCCCAGGCTGCTCCAAGCTCWGTCCAAGCTGGCCTGGGACATTCCAGGGATGTGACTCTGCCTTCTGGGTCACTCCCATTCCAAAATCCAAACGGAATTAACTCCATGACAATGATCCCTGCCAATGGCACTCTCCTTTTTCCACCCCCAGCAGCTTCCTTGGATGCTCAGCAGGGAATTTTGCCGGAAGAGCGCAGCTCTTCCCAACCTTTTGGCATGGGAGGATTTTTCCATAATGCCCAATTTGTTGGGATTTGCCCAGCAGGTGCTGCTGGAAGAAACCACCATTCCGGAGGGGAAAATCCCAGCTGGAATCCCATCGGGATGGGGCTGAGCTCCATGCCAGGACARGGAGGGCAGACACAGCTCCCATCCTAATCCCAAAATTCCTTGACTTTTGGATGCCTCAGAGCAATGCGTTAGAAAAGCTTGGTTTGGGCTCAGGGACATGGCTGTCACCATTCCCAGCTCCAGCATTCCCACAATTCCCACCAAACWGGATCTCCCACAGCCGGACCCCGCTCTGGGCTCAGATTCCGAGGGTTGATCCCTATTTATCCTGGTTTATCCCGATTTTTCCGCTCTCTGCCCCTCCAACAACACCTTGCCCGCTCCAGCCCTTCCCTGGCACGGCCTCTCCCGGGCATTCTGCTCCCGGAGCTTTTCCCGGCGCTGCCAGYGGCTCCCGAGCCCCATTCCAGCCGGAGAGCCGCAGCCGGGGCCTTTGCCAGCAGCTCCGAACAAAGGAGCGCGGGATTTCTGGGAGCGGCGCTTGGCACCGCTCCGCCGCCAGCCGGGAACGGGGGATCCGCGGATTCGGGGGGCTCCGGAGCAGCTGCCTCCAGCCGGAGATCCGTCCCTGCTGCCAGATTTGGGGAATGACTCGGGAGATAGGAATCCGGGATTGGGTTCCTCGGGGCTGGGGGATGAATGGAACCATTCATCGTTTGATAAAATTCCATGAAAAGGAGCGGGAAGAGGGGGGGAGGAGGGTGGGAATGACCCCGGCTGGCCGGGTGTGAGTTACGGATTCCGGCCATCCCGCCAGGCCCCATTAACGACCCCAATTAATTCCATTGAATCTAAATTAATTCCTCTGAATCCCAATTAATTCCACCGAATCCCAATTAAAACTCATTAAAAAGCTGAGGGCCGGACAAGCTTCCTTTCATGAGGGAAATTTTCCTTGGAACAGGGATCTTCCAATGGCTCCTTATCCCTGTTCCCAACCCCCAGTGATCCCAAAGACTGGTTGCCCCTGCCGAGCTTTTCCCAGGCTTTGGGAACAATGGGAAGGGAAAGGGGAAGGGGAAGGGATAATAAGGCAAGGAATGGCCCACTGCCCACCTTCCGTGGGTTCTCTCTGTGAGTATCCCAGGTGCTCCAACCTATGTGCTCCAGCCACAGTTTCTCTGGGAATTCCAGCCCAGCCCCTCCCCACCCTCCCAGCCAGGAATTCCTTCCCAAAATCCCACCCCAATCTCTCCTTTCCCAGTGGGAAGCCATTCCCTATGTTCTGTCCCTCCATCCCTTATCCCAAATCCCCTGCAGCTCTTCTGGAGCCTCTTTGGATGCTGGGAATTCTCAAGGACAGGGTGCTCCATCAAATCCCTTTTTAGTAACCCCCAGGAGAAGTCTTCACCCCAGATTCCCTGGAAACCAATCCATGTTTTCCAAAGCCCAATTCCTGCTTGCACAGCCCAGTGATTCCATCGAGCTTCCGACCAATTGATCCTGTATCAGCTTTTCCACGGATCAGCATTTGCTCCGGCCACTGAATCCGCCCTTCCAAGGCGGCAGAGGACACYGTGACTTCCCACTGGGAATATCCCAGCATTCCAACCTCCCAGCCATGGATAACTTCCGTAGGGCGTCCTTTACTCGCTCTGTTTGATCCCGACAGGGAACAGTCAGAATTTCCTCTCTGGAATCTGGGCTTGGCTCCATTTCCTTGCTGTGATCCCGGGATGAGCCGTTTCCATCTTTTTGRATCCTGGCTCCATGATTTTGCCGATAAAAGCCAGAGGAGTCATGGGATCATCCAGGGATCTCCCACATGGTATCACATTTTTTTTCAGGAAAAATTCCAGTCCTTTCAAACCTCTCTTCCCAAAATTACCAGGCCCTCAGGCTCCCATTGATTTGCCAGTGACACTCAGGGATTGGGAAGCAGCCTCTGGAATGGGTGGGAGCCAGGAGCACCAATGACTCCAGCTCCTCCCTGACCTTGGAATTCCCACCAGAGCATTCCCAATGATCCCATTCCCATTTTCATGGCAAAGGAATCTCTCTCCTCCTGTTCCTGTTCTTCATCCTGTGATTCCCATCCCTTCTCCCTCCAATCCCGCTTCCCTCGGCTTCCCATTCCTCCTGCTTTCCAGGGCACAGCCAAGTTATCCAGGGCGAGGGATGAACCGCAGCCATGGAGAAATTCCCAGATTTGGGATGGTTTCCCATTTCCAAGGCCCAGATTTTCCACAAAAGGGATGAGCTATCCCAGATTCCTGGAAGCTGGAAAAAAGGCCGGAGTTGCCAATCCATGCCATCCCTGCCGTGATCYCAGGGAGGTGCCAGGGAATTCGGGCAGCTCCTTGAGCCAGGTGTGGGCTCTCCCTGCATCCCCATGGATCCAGCTCCATCCTATTTTTAATTCCCCACTCCCATACTCCCCCAAAAGCAGGATCTGGGATGAGCTGCGGCTCCGTGCACTCCTTCCTGTGGGAAGGGAGGGGGTGGCTCGGGACAGGGACGGATCCAGCTCCTTTTTCACATTCCCAGTGGATATTCCAGCCCCCTCCGAGCCTTTTCCCAGCCCCCCACATCCCGGGAAAAGCTTTTTCTGTTACCTCGGGATGGCCCTGCCTGGCTTTAAGGCCTCTGCTCCTGATTTTCAGGTGGATTTTCCTCTGGGAATGTTTACAAAGTTTGGAAAAGAATTTCCACAGCTCCCAGCTCTGCCTGGGAAGCGGCTCCAGCGTGGGAGGAGCTGCTCTGGGACAATCTCAAGCTCCCGTCCCGGATAATGCCGGGAGGTGGGCAGGATGCAGATCCAAGAATTCCCTGGGGCTCCCCCTTTTCCTGCCCCGCTGCGGAAACTCACAATTCCCATCCCCAGATCCCACTGTTCCCTCCAGCTTTGAATCGCCGGCGCTTTTCCCGGATCTGCGCTGACCCCAGGGAATCACAAACATCCTGGAAAAGCCTCTCCTCTCCCACGGATTCTTGTGCCACTTCCCTTTCCCCTCTCCGCGTTCAGGGAATGTCCAGGGACTGACAGACACGTTCCCACCCCAGATCCAGCYGGGATCCGTGTCCCAGTTTTGGCTGGAAAAGCCCTGGAATCGATGCTGTGCCAGGTCAGGAACCTGCTCCAGGATTTTCTTTGGATTTCATCGATCCAGATTCCGGGAGATAAAATCCATAGGGTGAGCTTTACATGGATCTGACAGGAGGAATTGTGGGACAGATGACAGAGAAGTTTGCCATTTGCACATCCATTCCCTGGAAATTAACAGGAAAAATTTCCTGTTCCCTGAAAATTCACAGAGAATTCCCCGTTCCCTGAAAATTCACAGAAAATTCCACACTCCCTAGAAATAGACAGAAAATTCCCCATCCTGCTGCAGGTGCTTTTCCTGGGTCCTTTTTCCAATGGATAAATCTGTTCCCACTCCAAAAAAAACCTGGTAACAAATTCCCAGCTTGGCTTCCAACTGCGCCCCTCTATATCCAGGAATTTGGGATTATTTTATCCCAATTGCACTTYTTCATAACCCAGATTCAGGCCTGCCCACTGACCCCTCAGGAATTGCTGGGAACACACTTTTCCCGGGATACTGGGGGGACTGCCAGGGCAGCAGGGGTTGGGAATGGCACGGATTGGGAATGGYACCTGGGAACACCCAACTTGTGGTGACATCCCACAAGTAATTTCCTAAGGAAAAAGATGGGAAARAGGGATTCTCCCCATTTTCTCTGGGGTTATTTGGACATTCCCACATCCCATTCTAGGATCCCAAACCAGTTCCTCCAGTGCCATTCCCAATATGCCAGCCTATCCCAATCCGTGTCCCAGCCCAGGCCAGCGTTGGGGCTTTTATGGGATCATCAGGGCAATTCCCAGATCCCGTTGAGGCCATTCCAGACCCTCCCTGCGCCATGACCTTTCCCGAGGCTGCTTCCCTGGAATGTCTGGTGATCTGCCCGAGTCATCAGTGCTGCGCCACACCCTCGGGATGGGGAATTGGAGCTCTCTACTCCCAAATCCCAAACCCTCGGGATGGACATCTTCCCTGCAGAGCACAGGAATCTGAGAGAGCCGAGCCGTGGATGCTCTAGGAAGGATTTGGGGGCTCCAGGAAGGATTTTGGGTCTCCAACGGCCCCAGTTCCCCGCGTTGAGCTTGAACCGAGCCCGCTCAGCCCCCGCCGCCCCCTCCCACCCC